TCAGCGAGTCCTTTATAGGAACCTGAGAATTCATGTGTGTGCAGGAAACTAAACGGGTACAGGCACCAATCAAAAGATCCAGTTTTGGTGACTAATAGTGAATAATGCATTTTATTACTCCTTAATGAGAATTTCATATTGCTACATCAGTTAAAGCAACGTATTTAATTTGGCTAAGAGACGTCTTTAAATGATTGATCTTTGAACACCCACGTCGTGTCCTTCACATGTTTTTTGACACGCAGGAGAACCGTTGAAAAAGTATTGAGGAAAATAAATCCGTGGATATCAACCATTCACACTCTGCTGTATCTGCAGGGTGTTGTGAACCACTCAGACTTACTTATATGGTGATAAATACAGAAATCACTCTCAGCGCACCTAGTATTATTGTAGTAAGGCTGCAATACAATAAATGCAAACTGAATAAATATATTGAAACTTTATATACGTCAGTGATGACAAAGAGTGTTTGTATTGAAAGTAGCTATGTAACATTTTCCATGACTTCTATCATACTCCACCACAGCCCATATGAAGGGCTAAATGTATGAGACTGTGGGATTGTGTCGCCCCCTGTTGGTCAGTGTCTCGGATAAAGACCCCCTTTGCACAGGAAATCACTGTGCAGGTTGGTCTGACGCCATCCGGCGCTGCTGTCATGGGTTAATTCCTGGTTGTGACTGCTTCACACAGAGAGCGGCGTTCCCCCCGTCCACAAACTCTGTTTATTTAAGGCTGTTTTGTTCAGGCTGACGAGTTCAGCCTTCACCAGGGGTAAAATTAGCTTAGCTTATAATTCCATGACAACAATCTCACAAACTGTAAAGGTTTTATTTCAAACTGGTTTAATAAACATGGTACTGGAGGGGAGACTCATCACTGACTCTAACCAAATGTCTCATTTCCACATACCTGTAAACACGCTGTGACTCAGTCAATATTTCTTCATCAACAAATAACAAAGCTCTTAACATTTTTAACATTTTTTCACAGACTAATTCTTTTTAAAACTTTTTTTTGGGGAAAAACAGACATTTGTACCCAAATCAGTAGACTTTCATGGACAACGCTGTTAATCTGTCAGCAACAATATGAAGTCATTTCTAGGAAGGTATGAGCAAAGAACCGGAAAGTGTGTCTTCCTTTGTATTGTTCTGCATCGCCATCCTGGTGCATTGATGATCTTGTCTTAACTCCAGAGTACTTTCCAGCTTTTGTAGTGATGTTAAAATTTCAAGAATAAAATATAGTTATTCGAAATCAGCAATTGAACATGTAGTTTGTCAACAGTAAGAATGTAAAAGCTGCAGAAAAAACAACAGTGTGGGTTCAGAAAGCGCCCACTAGAGTTTCAGAACAGTTACTTGGACGTTACAGTTTGTGAATTTGTCCACTTTGACTGCAGATTGCTTCAGTTTACTTTTGTGGAGGACCACTTCATGATC